CGACGAATCACTGTTAGCATGCATGTGCACTGTGGTTATGCGGTCAATACCAGAAAGTGCTCCAGCTTTCGGTCGGAGGGATCTGAACATCCTCCTTTTAAAGGGAGACTGGATGGAAGCTACTGGCTGAGAACCAGGACCCTGGGGCACAGCAGGTGGACAACCAGAGGGAGGGAGAAAGGGGAGAGTGAGCAAAGCACAGAGGAAGGCCAGGGAAGCAAGGCCCAGACAAGGCAGGCAGGAATGGACTGATAGGAGACACTATGGGAAAAGAAAAAGACTCTTTGCACTGGGCTCTGGACTCTAAGCATTGGCACAAAGTGCATACACTGGCACGAGAGTATGTTTCTCTAATAGTAGGCTCTGCTTTTCCACCCTTCTGACATTAAGGACTGAGTTAAGGAGTTAGTGTAAAGATACAGGGCACATTAAGGAAACCAAAGACTTTGAGAACCTGAATTCCAGAACGCCGGGCCTCAAGGAGTCCATGTCAGGAACCAGTGGTAGATTCAAAGGCATCCCAGGAGCCTCAGCAAGTTGAAATCCTCGGGTCTTCGTTCTCTCCCCTCTCTTGCTCTTGTCAACTTTCAGGCCCTGCCAACTCATCTGTCTTTGCCTTATTTCCCACCTAAGTTCCTGAGAAACCCAAGATCTAAGCTGCTCTGAACATCTATCTCCAGTGGGTCCTTGAAGACCATCATCTCTGGCCAGTCTACAAATCCCCTGACCTTGAGCTAGGGGTCCATGAGCTTGGGCAGAGAATAGCAGGGGAGCGGCATGAGGTTCCAGCAGTCTCCAGAGTGGCCACCAAGAGCTCAGAACACTTTGTGTCTTCTCCCAAGTGTTGTGGCTTCCCCACCAGAGGCATATCCAATCACAGCTCTGGAACCCCATGACTTTGAGGTCAAGCGAGGCTGTGTGACCTGAGATCCTACAATCCCATGCTCCTGGGGCCTAGACCTGCCCCCCACCATATCAGAGAAGCCAGAGAATGCATGCCAAGTCATATGCACTGTGTTGTTTATTGTCACATGTTACCCATGGGACAGGGGCCGGGATGGGGAAGGGAGGCCTCAGGCAGAGAGGGATGGAAGGAGGGGGAAGTGGGAACCATCCATTTTCTGAACTCTGCCCTTTCTTCCAGCTGTTGATGGGTGCAGGCTTGGCCGCCAGCAGGACTCCCTCAGATACAAACACAGTGTTGTGTGAGAAGGTTGGGCACTGTCTCATACTTGAAAGAGTAACCGCCATCTGAGGTGGTGCGGACACGTAGGGGCCTCATGGTCCCAGGGAGGGCAGCACAGCAGGGCTGGGCCCCTGGCACCAAAGACAGGGGTTGGACAGGGGTAGGAGGAGCCCCGGGCCCCGGCAGGGGCAGGTCTGGTGTGGCAGGCAGCCCACAGCCACCGTGACAATAGTGGAAGATGAAACTGGGAGGGTGCACAATCCACCGGTCCCAGCCCAGCTCCTGGAAGGAGATATTGAGGGCCGCTCTGTGACAGTCAGCATGGGCGGCGGGTTCCTCCGGAAGTCTCTGGAGGAGACGCAGCGCGGCCGGAGACCAAGGCCAGGGCAGCGGGGGAGTTGAGCGTCGGGCTCGCTCGCCTCCCCTGGGTGGCCTAGCCCGGCTGTGGGCCACCAGGAAGGGTGTGGCCTCAGGCCGGGCTGAGCAGGAACAGAGAGCGCAGCGCAGCTGCAGGACCAGGACAGGGCTGGTCAGCAGAGGGAGTGCAGAGGGGGCCAGGTGAAGCACCGCCCAGCGAGGGGGTGCCTGGCCCAACGACATGGGCACGGCCATGGGGACCCCTGATGACAGAGCCAGCAGGCTTAGCAGGGGCCCAGAGCTATTGGAGGCTGCTTTGCTCTGCTTGGCCAGGCCCGTGTGGAACCACAGGTGGGCTGAAGTCACTTGGCGGCCGCGCGTGTGCTGGGACGGCCGGAACACATATGTGAAGAGGCCGTCCTCAGCCTCCTGGCTCAGCTCTCTAGCAGTTGACTCGACCGCACAGCCGGCACCTGCAGGAGACAAAGGGAAGGGAGAGGGCAGCCCTGACTGGCACAGCCTGGGACCTCTCATCCGCAGCGGCCGGGATACGACGGCAGCTCATCAGCCAGCCACACCCTGAGCACTGTCAGCCTCCTGAGAGAGCTGAAAGAGGCTCTCCATTTGTTATTTCACCCTTAACGGACTTAAAAAATACAAGATGTGGCCAACTTCTCTCTGAAATGGTTTTACCAATTAATATTCCATTCAGCAATGTATGTAACAGGCCCTGCCCACGCTCTACCTTCACCAACGCTTGGCATCGGTAGACCTAACTTTTTGTTCACCAGTAGCATGAAATGGGATCTTGGATCCCCTTGAATACACGGGCATTTGTTTTATTCCCCCATATGCGTTCAAAAAAAAATTTTTTTTTTAAGATTTTATTTTTAAGAGGCGCCTGGGTGGCTCAGTCGTTAAGTGCCTGCCTTCGGCTCAGGTCCTGGAATTGAGCCCCACATCAGGCTCCCTGCTCTGTGGGAAGCCTGCTTCTCCCTCTCCCACTCCCCCTGCTTGTGTTCCCTCTCTCGCTGTGTCTTTCTCTGTCAAATAAATAAATAAAATCTTTTTTAAAAAAGAAAAGGTTTTATTTTTAAGTAATCTCTACCCCCAACGTGGGGCTTAAACTCACAACCCCGAGATCAAGAGTCACACACTCTTGCCGCTGAACCAGCCAGGTGCCCCACCTCATGTATCTTATATTGTCAGAAATATTGCATGATACATTCTTTAAAACAATTCTACTTTTAGGGGCACCTGGGTGGCACAGTCAGTTGAGCATCTGACTCGATTTCGGCTCAAGTCATGATCTCATGGGTCATAGGACTGAGCCCCGCATGGGGCTCCACACTCAGTGTGGAGTTTGCTTGGGATTCTCTGCCTTACCCTCTGCCCCTCCGGCTCACACGCTCTCTCTCTCTCTCAAATAAATAAATAAATCTTTTTAAAAATTTCACTTAAAAAAATAGGTTAATATCCGAAAGAAAATGGAGGGGGAGGAGGCGAAACCATATAACCCAGGATAGAGGGCAGTGCTTTGTAAGAAAGGCAGTTGGCATCCCTCCACTACAGGTCCGCAGACTCTACTAAACAATCATGACTAGGTGAAGGACTACAGATTGGGACAATACTGTCGTGTGGATTCTCTCATTATAAATCTCACGATTGATCTCTTTTTTTAAATTTTTTAAATTTATTTGACAGAGAGAGAGACAGCGAGAGAGGGAACACAAGCAGGGGAGAAGCAGGCTTCCCACAGAGCAGGGAGCCCCATGCGGGGCTTGATCCCAGGACCCTGGAATCATGACCTGAGCCTAAGGCAGACGCTTAACGACTGAGCCACCCAGGCGCCCCTCATGATTGATCTCTTTTGCGGATAAGGAAACAGGGTTACAAAGGGGAAGTGACATTTAACTACTAAGTGGCCAGGCTGGGATTCGGCCTGATCCCAAAGCCACACGAAGTCACTGCGGCACAGGGAGGCAGGAGCTCCTCTCTGAGGGAAGATAGGCCAGACTACAAGAATGTCCACCTGGAAGAGGGCTTTACTGGTTCAGTCAGTGGAACACGGGAACATACATGAGGAGATGAAAAGGGGATTCAAGAGAAAGTAGACTAATTTCCTGAAAAATTTCCCAACTAATCTTACCCCAGCATTTCTGTATCTTCTCAAGTCTCAACTAACTGGGGCTAAAGAAACAAGGTTTGCGCAGGGAGCGAGGCAGGGGAAGAAGGAAAGGTGGCATAAAGGGGCCCAAGCCCAAACATCTCTTTCTAGAGACCCTTGGTCTCCCAAATGAATGTCCCCCAAATGACTCCTCTGAGCCTCGCTCCATTTCGCTTAATCCTGAGAGGTAAGCATCATTGCCCATTTTCAGGTGACGAGACAGAGACTCAAACCCAGACCTGCCTGGCTCCCGAGCCCATGCTGTAGGTACCGCACTGCTTCTCAAAGTCGCCCTGCCGGTGCCCCACGCTCATTACCTGTAGCCGGGAAAAGGATGGCCTGGGAGACATCCTCCTCCTCCCTGGGCTCAGAGCCCCTGCGCAGGAAGCCCCCCAGGGCATGTCTTCGGGGCAGACGCCTGACTCCAGGATCCCCACCTTCCCCGGCCAGTGCCGGAGGCCCCAAAGCATCCAAGAACAGGGCCCTCACCTTGGCCAGGACAAGTGCCCGGTCCAGCTCTGGCCCGTGGCAGCCATGCCCACTCTTTGGGGACAGCAGTAAGAGGAGCAGGAGTGGTAGCTGGGGCAGCATAGCTCACCTAGCCCTGCCAACGGTGAACCCGCACCCTGCCCTGTGCCCCTTCGGTTAGTGTCTGCCCCTCGCCTCCCCACTCTGCCCTCCCCATCCCACCGCGAGTCCTCTTCTATCCTTCTCATCCTGGGCTCCCCAGTCCTTCCCACGCCCTGCAATCCAGAGTGGCCCCTGCCCATGGCATTGAGACCTCCTATCTCTGACGCAGATGTCTGTGGCCCTGAGCCTTATCTCCCACTCCTGCCAAGCATGTGGGGGAGGGGGCTGGTGAGGGTTTTCACCCCGTGCGACCTGACCCACACATACCAACCACCCCTTCCCCCTGCACACACACAGACACACACTCTCTCTCTCTCTCTCACATACATACACACACACACACACACACACACAGCCCCGTCCCAGCACCCAGCACAAAGGTGACATCCGGTGGGACAGGAGCCTGGGAGCTGGGGTCTGCCAGTTCCTGAAAGTGTTACTCGTAGGGGGAACAGAATGCGCCAGCCCCTCAGACCTTCTGGGGCCCCTTTCAACCAAGCAGCTGCTGGGCCAGTCATGGGGGGAAGGGCTGAGGCTGGGGCTAGAACTGGGGCTAGGGTGGGGGGCAGGTGGTCCCGCCTGCTCTAAACTTAGCCTAGAGGAGCCAGTCTGGGCTCTTGTCCCTCCAGCTGTGTCATCAGAGAATATTTTTGGGATTGGCAGCTGCAGGCGCCTCTGCCACTCAGGCCCAAGCCTGGCCGGCGGTTGGGGACCTGGCGGCTGGAGGTGGGAGGGAGGAGGGGAAAGAGGCCCATGCTGTGGGAGGGGGCTGGGAAGAGAGGCTCTCCGGAGCAGGAAGCCAGGCCGCGGGCAGAGGAGGCTGCGGGGCCCCTCGCTGCAAAGGCAAACAGGAAGGACTGCCCCCTGAGCGCCTCGGCTCGGGGCCCGGGAATCGCCGCCGCCGCAGAGCCGCAGCTCCGGGCCGAGGGTAAGGAGACGAACCCCGAGCGGGCGGCCGGGGGAGCGGGGGGAGCTCCGCGGGTGCCCGCGCCCCGGCCCCAGCCGCGCCCCGCCTCGCCTCGCGGGCTCCCGCCGCCGCCCCCGGGCCTCCGCGCGCCTGCCGCCCGCCCTTCCCCCCGCACCGCTGCGGGCCGGCGGCGACCGCCACGATGAAGGCGGGCTCCGGGGATCAGGGGAGCCCCCCGTGCTTCCTGCGCTTCCCGCGGCCTGTGCGGGTGGTAAGTGGCGCCGAGGCCGAGCTCAAGTGCGTGGTCCTGGGGGAGCCGCCGCCCACTGTCGTGTGGGAGAAGGGCGGCCAGCAGCTGGCGGCCTCGGAGCGCGTGAGCTTCCCGGCGGACGGCGCCGAGCATGGCCTGCTGCTGAGCGGCGCGCTGCCCACCGACGCGGGGGTCTACGTGTGCCGCGCCCGCAACGCGGCCGGGGAGGCCTACGCGGCGGCAGCCGTCACCGTGCTGGAGCCGCCGGCCCCCGAGCCCGAGCCCCAGCCCGCCGAGCACCCGCTGCCGCCTCCCGGGGCCGGGGAGGGCGCCCCGGTGTTCCTGGCGGGGCCCCGGTCCCAGTGGGTGCTGCGGGGGGCGCAGGTGGTGCTGACGTGCCAGGTGGGGGGCCTCCCCGCGCCCGCGCTCTACTGGGAGAAGGACGGGATGGCCCTGGACGAAGTGTGGGACAGCAGCCACTTCACGCTCGAGCCTGGCGGCGCCGAGGGCGGCCAGGGCGTGAGCCTAGCGCTGCGCATCCTGGCAGCGCGGCTGCCCGACTCGGGTGTCTACGTGTGCCACGCCCGCAACGCGCACGGCCACACGCAGGCCGGCGCGCTGCTGCAGGTGCACCAGCCCCCCGAAAACCCGCCCGAGGACCCCGACGAGGCCCCCAAGCCCGTGGTGGAGCCGCTCAAGTGCGCGCCCAAGACCTTCTGGGTGAACGAGGGCAAGCACGCCAAGTTCCGCTGCTACGTGATGGGCAAGCCCGAGCCCGAGATCGAATGGCACTGGGAGGGCCGCCCGCTGCTCTCCGACCGCCGCCGCCTCATGTACCGCGACCGCGACGGCGGTTTCGTGCTCAAGGTGCTCTACTGCCAGGCCAAGGACCGCGGGCTCTACGTGTGCGCAGCGCGCAACTCGGCAGGCCAGACGCTCAGTGCCGTGCAGCTGCACGTCAAAGGTACTGCGGCGCCCCCGGGGCTCCCCGGGCCCTGGGGAGGGGCCTCCAGCGCTGCCCCGGAGACGGTGGGGGAGAGAGGAGGCGGACTAATCACATACCTTTTCCTGCCCGCCTCCCGCTCCCCAGGGATTCGGATTTAGTAGGTCTCCAGGGTACCCGGGAACTGCTTAGCAAACCCCCTAAGTGATACTGAGGCCGAGGGTGGAAAATGACTCTGATAAACGGCTTTAAAGAGTGACTGATGGACCAACCAAGAGGGAGCGCTTCTAGTCCTAAGGAGTGACTGATGGACCAACCAAGGGGGAGCGCTTCTAGTCCCGTGGATTTCAGCCTTTGTTTTACTCCCCTCTCCCTCAAGGGAAATCCCATGTGGGGCCCCAACATAGAAGACTGATATAAGGAACATTTTATGGGTGTAAATTTCTAGGTCCAGATTTATACCGTGTACTTATAAAGCCCATCAGTGAGAACCAGGGTGCTATTTTATTGAATATACACGTTTTAAGACGAGGCTGCATTCATAACTGGGTCTCATCTGTGAGCCCTGTGGGCAAGTCTGGGGCTGCAGGCGACACGTTGAGAAACTCCTGATTCACACCAAAGGGTAGGCTTGAGGGAGGAAACATGCCCTGTTTCAAAAATGCTCTCCAGGTTTGAAAGAAGAAGGTGAACAAGAGGAAATTTCTATTTCAAAGTTGAGTCATCAACAGTATCTCATAAATGCTTACAGTGCTCATAAACAGAAAATTCAGAGGGGGGATAAAAAAAACCACCCCAAACTCCCACTGGAAGGTAAAGCTCTCCATAATCAGAGTTCATGAGAACTCGAGGGATTATACCTTCATTAGTTATTACCCACCTTGTTCGCTCAGAGGAAGGAAAGTTGGCAAATCTCCAGAACCCTGCCTGGCGCTCAGTCAGGCGTGTGGCCCCTGTGCTGAGGTCCAGTGTGCCCAAACCCGCGGGGCCTCACTAACTAACACCATCAGGAAAGAGAAGCCCAGTGGGAAGGCAGAGCTTCCCACAGCTGTGGGACAAACATGCTACTCCAGCGGCCTCATAACTCACCGGTCATTTCCGTCATCATGCTTTCTTCTTGTAAAATGCAGTTTTGAAAATGACTAAAGTACTTTTTTATATATATATTTTTAATCGTACTTTTAAAAATCATTTTATTTATGTATTTATGTATTTATTTTCACCAGGATAATTGTATTGTACCCTTTGATCCTCATCTCTTATCCCCCCTCCCCCGTAACCAGCACTTTGTTCTCTATAGTTAAGAGTTTGTTTCTTGGTTTGCGCCCCTCCTCTTTTTTTCCCCCTTTGCTCGTTTATTTTGTTTCTTAAATTCCACGTACGAGTGAGATCATAGGGGATTTGTCTTTCTCTGACTGACTTATTTCGCTCAGCATTCTATTCTCTAGCTCCATCCATGTGAAAACGACTAAAGTACTTTAAAAATGAAATTCGACTCAGACCCTTGCAGAATTTGTGTAGGGCCCTCAGGGGCCCCAGGGAACAGCTTGAAAATCACTGATGTAATCCAAGCCCTTCCATCCCTTTCCCCACTTTAAAGTCAGGAAACTTGAGCAGCTGACTCTAGATTTTGGCTGCGGTCATGATCTCAAGGTCCTGGGATCAAGCCCCACATCCCGCATCAGGCTCTGTGCTCAGTGGGGAGTCTGCTTCAGGATTCTCTCTCTCTCTCCCTCTCTAAGATAAATAAATAATTATTTTTTAATAAGTATTTTTTAAAAATAATAAAGTCAGGAAACCGAGGCCCAGGATCACTAAAATGGCCTTGTTCAAGGTGATATGGTTGATGAGCGTCAGGGTCAGATGAGAATTTAGGCCATCTGACTTCCCTTCCAGTGGTTTTTCTGTGATTCCAGAATACCTGCAGGCCCCGGGAGAAAAATGGCAGGGGCTACTGTGGGTTTAGGCAGTTGATGCAAGGAGTCCTTCCCCTGGCCGGGCCCCTTCCAGAGCCTTCTCCTGTCTCTCCCCTCTGCACAGAGCCCCGCCTCCGCTTCACCAGGCCCCTGCAGGACGTGGAAGGCCGGGAGCACGGGATTGCCGTGCTGGAGTGTAAAGTGCCCAACTCGCGCATTCCCACGGCCTGGTTCCGCGAGGACCAGAGGCTGCTGCCGTGCCGCAAGTACGAGCAGATCGAGGAGGGCACTGTCCGGCGCCTCATCATCCACAGGCTGAAGGCAGATGATGACGGCGTCTACCTGTGCGAGATGCGGGGCCGGGTGCGCACCGTGGCCAACGTGACAGTCAAAGGTGGGGTGGCCAGTGGGAGGATTCCCCGGGCTGAGGCACGCAGGTGCCCAGACCCCAGGCTGAACGATTCCCGTGCGTATCTCAGGGCCCATTCTGAAGCGGCTGCCCCGGAAGCTGGACGTCCTAGAGGGAGAGAATGCGGTGCTGCTGGTGGAGACACAAGAAGCTGGGGTCGAGGGGCGCTGGAGCCGCGACGGGGAGGACCTGCCGACCACCTGCCAGAGCAGCTCTGGCCACATGCACGCCCTGGTCCTTCCAGGGGTCACCCGAGAAGATGCTGGCGAGGTCACCTTTAGCCTGGGCAACTCCCGTACCACCACTCTGCTCAGAGTCAAATGTGAGGGCATGAGAGCCCGTGGGCAGGAGGGCCAGGGCAGGAGGGCGACCAGATGCCAGAGGCGGACTCAGGGTGGGAGGGCTGCAGGGAGGCTGGAGCAGGGCTGGAATGCACACCCTGCCTTTGTCCCAGGTGTCAAGCACAGCCCCCCGGGACCCCCCGTGTTGGCAGAGATGTTCAAGGGCCATAAGAACACAGTCCTGCTGACCTGGAAGCCCCCCGAACCAGCCCCTGAGACCCCCTTCATCTACCGGCTGGAGCGGCAGGAGGTGGGCTCCGAAGACTGGATCCAGTGCTTCAGCATCGAGAAAGCCGGAGCCGTGGAGGTCCCAGGAGACTGTGTGCCCTCCGAGGGCGACTACCGCTTCCGCGTCTGCACGGTCAGCGAACATGGCCGCAGCCCCCATGTTGTGTTCCACGGGTCCGCTCACCTCGGTGAGTCAGTGCTGTCGGCCCTGGCCTGCGGCGGCCAGACCCCAATCGGGCCCTCCCCATCCTCTCTCCTCCCTCCCCCAGCCTTTGGTCTGTACCTTCCGCCTGCACACCCTTGCGCTTTGCTGCCCGTCTGGTTCTGATGGCCACACTCCATCCCCATCGCAGTGCCCACAGCTCGCCTGGTGGCCGGTCTGGAGGATGTCCAGGTGTACGACGGGGAAGATGCAGTCTTCTCCCTGGATCTTTCCACCATCATCCAGGGCACCTGGTTTCTTAATGGGGAAGAACTCAAGAGTCACGAGCCAGAGGGCCAGGTGGAGCCCGGGGCCCTGTGCTACCGGATTGAGCAGAAAGGTCTGCAGCACAGACTCCTCCTGCGAGCCGTCAAGCACCAGCACAGCGGGGCCCTGGTTGGCTTCAGCTGCCCTGGTGTGCAGGACTCAGCCGCCCTCACCATCCAAGGTCGGTGCTGGTGGGGACCAGGGTGGACAGATAGATAGGGTCAAGACACAGAAGGCCCATTTCAGCCTATGTGCAATGTAGAGGAGACTCCTTAGTATCTTCATCAGCTTCATAGCCACATTCTCTGGAGCACTTTGTGGTTGATGGAATTCTGTCACATTTGTTATCTCCAAGACACAGACCCTGGTTCCTAGTCCCAGACTGCTTCCTGTAATCGATAACATTATCAAAGCAACTTCCTATGTGCTGGGCACAACCCTAATCGTTTCACATACATTGTATTCATTAACACAGTTCTCTCAACAGCCCTGTAAGGTAGGCTCTTCTCTTACCCCATTTTACAGATGGAGCAGCTGAGTCACAGGTTAAGTGACTTGCCCAGAATCACCAAGCTAATGAGTGGTAGTGCTGGGTGATGAAGCCAGGCAGTCTGGCTCCAGACTCAACCCTGTGCCACCTGTGGACGGTTCTCGGTGGGCATCTGAGAGTGCAGGGACATGTGGCACTTGCCATCTCACCAGTGCCAGAGTTTGTAGGGCCCATCGAGGAATTCCTCGGTGCCCAAGCACAGGGCCCGGAGGTGGTCAGCTGCCGGCATCCGAGAGGGATGGCAGAATAAGAACCAGCAACCAGAGTAGCGTTTCCAGAATGCAAACTGGGATCCCTGACATCAGAGTCGCCTGGAGGGCTGGTTGATAAGACAGATTCCCTGGCCCTTGCATGCGTGTGTGGGGCCTAAGAACCTGCATTTTCAGCAGATTCCCTAGGAATTCTGTACACTAAAGCCGTTGTGCTTGAGAGTTGGTGTGTAAGCCCCAGATGATTTTTTTTTAAATCCCAACAAATGCATTGACAGTGACAGCAGTTGTGTGGCCTGATGGAGGCACCCCCCACACACAGCAGAGAGGGGTGCTGATCCCAGGCAGAACGTGACGAGGGTGCTGCCTGTGCCCACGCCTCTCCCCACACAGAGAGCCCGGTGCACATCCTGAGCCCCGAGGACAAGGTGTCCTTGACCTTCACGACCTCGGAGAGGGTGGTGCTGACCTGTGAGCTCTCCCGGGTGGACTTCCCAGCGTGCTGGTACAAGAATGGGCAGGAGGTGGAGGAGAGCGAGTCGCTAGTGGTGAAGATGGATGGGCGCAAACACCGCCTGATCCTGCCGGCCGCCGAGGTCCGGGACAGCGGCGAGTTTGAGTGCAGAACGGAGGGGGTCTCCGCCTTCTTCAGTGTCACCGTCCAAGGTCAGCAACTGTGGTGGTCTGGGCTCCTGAAGCTGAGGCTGACTCTAGGGGCCACGTGAGCCCCATCCCTTGGAGTGTCTGCTTGGGGGGTCCCTTCTGGGGAGAGCCTAGTGAGCCAGGGGACATGTATTCAAATTATTCTGTTCTTGCTTCTAAGTCCTCCCTCCACCAACACCCTCCAGCACACTTGCCCTCCACATACCCTGCTCTGGGTAGGGGGTAGGGAAACAAAACGTAAACAAAAGGGAAGGAGAGACGGGGGCTAACATTCACTGGGTACCTACCATGAGCCAAACGTTATACTAAATGCTTCGCATATATACCATTTCATGTAATCTTCACAACTGCGTGAGAAGGAATAGATCTCCAGTTCCCAGAGGAAGAGACTGAGGCTCAGAGAGGTTATGGGATTTACCTATTATCACAGCCAGCAAACACCATAGCTGGGTTCACACCCAGGTCTGTGCTTACCCTCCTGCCTCAGGTGGCCCGGGGTCAAAGGGACGCTTTAAGTGCAGTGGTCCAGTGGTTCTCGAGCCAGTCCATGTTCTGGCTGCTTCAGAACCACCCTGGAAGCTTGTTATACATGCATATGCCCAGGCCCCCCAGACCTCTAGCACCAGGCTGTCCAGGGTAGAGCCTAGGGATCCACTCTGGAAGGGCAGCTTGGGAACCCCTGATTCAGCTCATCTTCCCGCTTTGAGTGGAAATTCTGTTTCAACCCTGTTGCCAGGAGGTCGTCCAACTACTGCCTACATGCCCCCAGTGATGGGGAACTTACTACCTGTAGAGAGCAGCTGTCTCACGGTGGCACTGCTAAGTCGTTCCCGCCCCCTGCCCATCCTGGGGCCAGTGCTCCAGGGGCTCCCTTGTAAAACCAGCAGCAGGCATGGCCCGGATGGGGCCCATGATGGTGACCTCCCCTCAGCCAAGACGGAGGCTATCTGTGCCTCCCCCAACCATGTCCCCACCGAGCCACCTCTGACCCGCTGGGGACTCAGCTCAGGGAGCCCTCAGGTGCCACAGGATCTGCATTGCCTCACCGGCCACGCACTCAGTACCCCACGTTCTTGCTCCAGACACCCTGCACAGCATGGCCTCAAACCTCCCAGGGTCCCCCGGGGAGGAAGCAGTCTCCTGTGTGTGTGTTGGGGGGGTGTCTCTGTGACCTGGTCTCTGCTCCCCACCAGACCCCCCGGTGCATATCCTGGATCCCCAGGAGCACGTGTTCGTGCACGCCATAACCTCAGAGTGTGTCATGCTAACCTGTGAGGTGGACCGAGAAGACGCCCCCGTGCACTGGTACAAGGATGGGCAGGAGGTGGAGGAGAGTGACTTCGTGGTCCTGGAGAAGGAAGGGCCCCACCACCGCCTGGTGCTGCCTGCTGCCCAGCCCCCAGACGGCGGTGAATTTCAGTGCGTCGCCGGAGATGAGCGTGCCTACTTCACGGTCACCATCACAGGTGGGGCGCCAGGCAGGCCCGTGGGACACCGCCCAGGCAGCTGTCATGCTCTCACGCCCCGGGCCACTGTCCCCAGGCCCTGCTCCCCTCTCCCTGGCTGATCCCAGGTCCCTCCTTGGTCTGCACCCTGAGGTTCGGGCACCCACAGAAAATGCGTGGAAAATTAACACTGGCCAGGGTGCATGATTCCCAGGGAAGCTCTGCTCTCTCCGTTCTCCGGCAAAGGGGAGCTTGAGGAATGGCAGCTGTATGGCGGGGCAGGGTCCAGGGCAGGTGGGCCCCTGCCCTAGAGGGCTCAGAAGCTCTCAAGAGCCTAAGGGAGGCCCCGGCTCCATCTGGGCACCCAACCCTTCTCTCCCTGGTCCAACCCTCCATACTGTCCCTGTCCCAACCCCGGGAATGTAGCACGTTTCTCTAGCAGAGGCTGCCAGCATCACCACCACTGTGCCACCGTGCCTCTGATGTGCTTTGGGGACCGTGGTCGTGTCTCCAGCTGGGCGTGGCTGTCCGAGCAGCTGTGAGGCCTAACCTGAGGGAAGGCTCTCTCCTTCGACACATGGCCCGCTCGCCAGGAGGAGGGAGCAGGCGCGGATGAGGGAGGGCAGCAGGGCCCGTGGGTCCCAGCCATGACTGTCCCCATCCTCCAGATGTCTCCTCGTGGATCGTGTACCCCAGCGGCAAGGTGTACGTGGCAGCTGTGCGCCTGGAGCGCGTGGTGCTGACCTGTGAGCTGTGCCGGCCCTGGGCCGAGGTGCGCTGGACCAAGGACGGTGAGGAGGTAGCGGAGAGTCCCGCACTGCTCCTGCAGAAGGAGGACACGGTCCGCCGCCTGGTGTTGCCCGCTGTCCAGCTCGAGGACTCCGGCGAGTACTTGTGTGAAATCGACGACGAGTCGGCCTCGTTCACCGTCACTGTCACAGGTGTGGGCTCACCCCAGCTGCCCCGGGTCACCGGAGGACGGTCCTGAGCCCTTGGGGGAGCTGGCCACGGATTCCCTAGTTAGCTCGCCAGGGAGGAGGGAGGTAGGGCTGTGGGGCCTGTACCAAGGCTCCCTGCCCGAAAGACCTGGGGGGGGGGGTGGGGGGGGGGGGGGGGGCCCTGTTCAGCCCCTGTTCGGGGGAGCCGTCTCCTCCCCGGCACCGGCACCAGGAAGAACTGTGCTCCATCGGCTCCTTGGCCGAGCACTTCCTGCGTGCCGGCCGCTGGGCCCGGGGCTGCGGACACTCGTGGGCTCCGTTCTCCCAGAGCCGCCGGTCTAGCTGGGGAGGCCGCTGGTAACCAGGGGTCGCAAACGGGCAGTCCGTAGGGCCCCATGCAGCCCACAGATGTGTTTTGTTTGGCCTGCAGAGTCTTACCAAAGTCAGGACAGTTCAAATAACAATCCGGAATTATGCATCCTCTTGAAAAAGCCGAAGACCCGGCGGCTCTGGTCCCGCTTCCCCCCATGGCGACGAACAGCTGGTGCTGAGTAGCAGCTACCCCCATATTGCGGGGCCCGCATTCCTCGGTCCTTGCCTCCCTGCCGTGCCTCCTTGCCTCTCCCCAGACTGCTTCCTCCACTGACCTTACCTACCTGGCCCCTGTGGGCGTTGGAGTTTGCGACCCCTGTGTTAAACGAATAAATGCGCAAATAAATGTACAGTGGACACCTCGTGACAAGTGCCGTGAAGGACGAGAGCAGAGGGCTCAACAGAGGAGAACAGGAGAGTCAGGGAGGGCTTCGGAGAAAGTCACCATGCCACCTGTAGGAGCCAGCCCTGGGTTGGGTCTGGACCCCCCCAGTGGCAAGCAGACAGACATGCTCGCTTCTCTCCAGGAGTGCACAGCCTGGCAGGAAAGCCAGACACGTTAGAGGATCTTAGAGTGTGGATTGTCCGGTGTTGTGATAGGGTGCGGCGGGAGCTGAAGGCCGCGTGGCGGCTGGCCTTGTGCACAGGCAGGAAGTGCCTTCTAACTGGATACTTGAGGCAGGGGCTGAGTTAGCTAAGCGGGGTCAGGTGTGGACTGAAGGGAGAGGGGAGACTGTTCAAAACTGGAAAAGCACAGGACGACTATGGAAGTGATGGGGGTTCATTCAGTGCTGGAAACTTAGGGGCTGCAGCCCATGATGCCAATCCCAGTGTGGGGGCGGGGGGGGGCTTGGTGGGGGAGGGGCGTTGCAGGGCCTAGGCAGCTCTGGCAGGCACAGAAGAACCCCGCTGGCTTCACTGGAGTGCCCGTCCTGCACCTGGCACTGTCTTGTTGCCCTGTCCCCTGCCCTGGCCCAGGAGTGATGCCTCAGTCCAGGCTGAGCTACTTAGCCCGCCCCCGCCCCCCACACACACTGCCTGCATTCCAGATAGTGCAGCCTGGCACACACAAGCCACAAAGCCAAAGAGGCCTTTCTGCACACGTTCTGCCCTGTAGTGAGGCCCTTCAAGCTCCGGCCGGACATAATGACAGCTACACACATTTCAGCCTACACTTGGCCTCCCCACAAAACACCAGATTCTTCACGGCGAAGTTGACACAAGCACTGCCTCGGCTTTGGGCCAGGGAGAATCAAGTCTGATGCCAAGCTGAGGTCCCACAGCTGTGCAGACCCCCCCAGCCCCACCACTGCACCCTGTCTTCACCCGACTGCCCCCCATCACCTCCCCCCCACCTCAGGCAGCCACTCCTCTGCAATTTGCCAGCCTTGCGAGGGCCCCAGAGAACCAGCCCGCATCCTCTAGACTCTTAGAACAAGCCGTTAGGGAGGTGGGTGGTGGAAGCAGAGGACTTGAGTGTGTGCTGGTGAGCACGTCGGCCCATGCGCGCCTCGGCAAACAGTGGGACCGGAAAGCTAGCAGTTCCTGAGCCTCGCCACTAGGGGGCTAAATGTTAAAGGAGCTCTAAAAGTGTCCTGGAACCTAGAAGATTCTGAGAGACGTCCAGGGTGCATGGGAGCATGGGCAGGCTCGGACTCAGTGCACCAGTCACTTCCAGTGTTGACATAGCTCCTTTTCTGTGGGGGAGCGACCGGTTTGGAGCAGTTGGAAATGAACTCCCAGAATCAGTGTTTAGCATCCCTGGGGAATTCTCAGACAGGTGTTGGCAAGTCTTATGCACAGATGCAAAAATCATTACTGAGTTCCGCCCGCCTTGGCTTGCAATCCCTACCAGTGCTCGCAGAGTCTGAGCCTCCCTTTCACAGATGGCTGTTCTCCCCGCCCCTGCCCCAGAACAGGTGTAGCCAGCTGTGACCTTAAAGAGGTTGGGTAATCACTCTGTGCCTCAAGTTCTTCGTCTGGAAAACAGGGATAAAACCATACCCTACCTCTTCGGATTGCTGTGAGGGTTCAATGTGTAAAGTGCTTAGGGCTGTTCTGGAACGTTAGGAAATAGTAAGTATTTGCTATTACAGATCCAGGATCTCTTACAATTCTGATCTAAAAATAAATAAATAAATAAAAATAAAAAGTCTCTTTGCAAGCTGGCTATTCAAAGTCATTTAGTAAAATCTGAGCTTAACTGCTGTGGAACGATTTCTACTCTTTAATTATCGTGCTTAGACTGAGTATATCCACAGGTTACACCGCAGAAATGTTAGTGAGGTTGATGGGGCGGGAGGAGGTGCCCCAGAGGGTGCTGGGAGGAGCAGGTATGTGATCTCTGATAAATGCAGCATTTCTGGGATCTGAAGCATTTGGGATTCTGTCACACCTCCGGCCCCAGGAATTTCAGAGAGCAGGCCCTGGACCTCTCACTCCTTGTTATGATTATCCTTATCACTCTTATTATTGTGAACGACAGGAACTTCTTGCTGCCAGGGAGGCCGACGGTGAGTTTGTGACAGCCTGTGATCACCCCACTCTGCAGAGCCCCCAGTGCGCATCATATACCCCCGGGATGAGGTGACCTTGATCGCCGTGAGCTTGGAGTGCGTGGTGCTGATGTGCGAGCTGTCCCGGGAGGACGCCCCTGTGCGCTGGTACAAAGACGGGCTGGAGGTAGAGGAGAGCGAGGCCCTGGTGCTGGAGAGTGACGGGCCACACCGCCGCCTGGTGCTGCCTGCCGCCCAGCCCGAGCAGGGGGGCGAGTTCGTGTGTGATGCCGTAGATGACTCAGCCTTCTTCACTGTCACCGTCACAGGTGGGCAGTCTCTGGGCATCCTGGGGAGCTAGAGAGGCAGGGGGCTAAGGGACAGACACCCAACCTTCTCATTTCCTGCATCTTAGGGCTCCCCCCACCTGCCCCCTTAGGAGCTTTCATTCAGTCATCAAATATTTATTGAGCAACTACTATGCGCTCAGCGCTGTTCTGAATGCTGACAGAGTAGCAAGCCAATAAGAGCAAACCTCCAATTCTCCACTAGAATTCGATTTCATGGAGCTCGAATTCTAGTGAGGATGGACAGACAACCGATAGGTGATGATAAGTACATCAGAGGGAAAGCAGGGAAAAGGGGTACGGAGTGGGGGCGACTTAGGGAGGGGCGTGCATTGGGGCCAGCTAGGTCTACGTCTACCTCTTTCTGCCCATGGGACCTTGGACAAATCACTTTCCTCTAAAGAGGCCTCAAGTCCTCATCTGTAAAGTGAAGCCAACATCGGTGCTCTCCTAGGGAGCGTCAGGAGTAACTGTGCCAAGAGCTTCAGTAAGCTTAGTGCAGCACCTGGCACATAGCAGGTGCGCATGGATGGTAGCCACCCCGGTCCCAAGAGCTGCGCCGGGAAGAGAGAGGGCTGAGAAGCCAGGGGGTGAGTCAGGTAGAGGTCTGCTGGCTGAGCCTGAGCACCGCTCCCTCCGTCTGTCCGCCAGCCCCGCCAGAGAGGATTGTGCACCCGGCAGCCCGCTCCCTGGACCTGCAGTTCGGGGCCCCGGGGCGCGTGGAGCTGCGCTGCGAGGTGGCCCCTGCCGGGTCCCAGGTGCGCTGGTACAAGAATGGGCTGGAGGTGGAGGCATCGGACACGCTGCAGCTGGGAGCCAAGGGGCCTGCTCGCACCCTGACCCTGCCCCACGCCCAGCCCGAGGACACCGGGGAGTATGTGTGCGAGACTCGTGACGAAGCTGTCACCTTCAATGTCAGCCTGGCTGGTGGGTGTTTCCTGCCAGCCTGGGTGCGGGTGGGGGTAGTAAGCCCGAGCCGACATGCTCCTCTTTCTGTCCAGAGCCCCCAGTCCAGTTCCTCGCCCCAGAGGCAGCCCCTGCCCCACTCTGTGTGGCCCCTGGGGAGCCGGTGGTGCTGAGCTGTGAACTGTCCCGGGCTGGCGCCCTGGTCTTCTGGAGTCACAACGGGAGCCCCGTGCAGGAGGGCGAGGGCCTGGAGCTCCATGCTGAGGGCCCCCACCGCATCCTCTGCATCCGGGCTGCAGAGCTGGCCCACGCCGGCCTCTACACCTGCCAGTCTGCGACAGCCCCGGGGACCCCCAGCCTCAGCTTCACTGTCCGAGTGGCTGGTAAGTATGGCCGGGGCAGAAGGCCTGAGAGAGCCACACCCCCAAACCCGTATGCGTCTCCCCCCGGCTTCTCTAGCATGCCTCATCCGTCCCTCACCCACGTCTCTTGGCATCTTGCTTCCCACTGTCCCTTTCTAGCCCTCTGGCCTCTCCCTCCCAGTGACACCCTGCTCTGACCCCACAGAGCCCCCCGTGCGGGTGGTGGCCCCCGAGGCAGCCCAGACGAGGGTTCGCAGTACCCCAGGCGGGGACCTGGAGCTGGTGGTGCACCTCTCCGGGCCAGGGGGCCCTGTGCGCTGGTACAAGGACGGGGAGCGACTGGCGAGCCAGGGGCGGGTGCGGCTGGAGCAGGCCGGGGCGAGGCAGGTGCTGCGGGTGCGGGGGACACGGAGCGGGGACGCTGGGGAGTACCTGTGCGACACACCCCAGGACAGCCGCATCTTCCTCGTCAGCGTGGAAGGTAACAGTGCACCCCTCACACCCTGTGGGCCCTGGCACCCCAAATACCACACCTCTGCACTGTCCCGGGACCCCCTCAGCCCCCAATCTCCCCCTTGCTACCTCTGGCTCTAACCAATACATGCACAACTATTACTGGGACGAGGGTTCAGGCCTCCTTCTTTCAGGAACCGTCTCTATAGAGGGAGGCCTAGCCCAGTGGTTAAAAGCAGGGGCTCTGGAGTCAGCCCACCCCGGTTCCGATCTGGGTTCTGCTTGCCAGGAGGGTGTGACACTGGCAAGTTGCTCCACCTCTCTGAGCCCCGGCTGTGAAGTGGGGAGATGGTGCTTATCTTATAAGGGCTGTGGTGACAGTTAAATAAGATAGGGTCCGGGCACCTGGGTGGCTCAGATGGTTAAGCGTCTGCCTTCAGCTCAGGTCATGATCCCGGGATCCTGGGATCGAGTCCCGCATCGGGCTCCCTGCTAGCGGGGAGCCTGCTTCTCCCTCTGCCTCTGCCTCTCTCTCTCTCTGACTCTCATGAATAAATAAATAAAACATTAAAAAAAAATAAGATAGGGTCCATGATAAATGATCTGTTAGGGAGTCAGAGGCAGACCAGGATTGAGAGGTGGCGGCTAGGAGGGGCAGGGAGCTGGCATCTTGTCCTTTGGGACACCCCCCATGGTCCTCAGGAAAGATCTTCACAATAACTGGGAGATGTACCCCAGGAGAGGATGAAAAAGAGGGAGAGGGAAAGACACAGCCCACCTCACTGCCCGACCCCCCCCTCCCCCGCCCAGAACCACCACTGGCAAAGCTGGTCTCAGAACTGACACCACTCACCGTCCACGAGGGGGATGATGCCACGTTCCGGTGTGAAGTCTCCCCACCAGACGCCGAGGTCACCTGGCTACGCAACGGGGCTGTTGTCACTCCGGGGCCCCAGGTAGAGCTAGGCCAGAGTGGTTTGAGCCGCACGCTGACCGTCCGAGGCTGCCAGCTCGACGACGCGGGGACCGTGACTGCCCGAGCAGGGGGCACGGCCACGAGCGCCCGGCTCCACGTTCGAGGTCTGGTCCTGATGGGGATGAAGTGGTCTTGGCTCCTGTCCCTGTCCACCCAACCCTGGCCCTAGCAGACCTGTCCGTCTGCCCCGGGATCATCGGCCAGGGAGCAGGGTGTCAGGCTCCATGACCCCCTCCCCCTTCCTCCCCAGAAATGGAGCTGCTCTTCCTGCGGCGCCTGCAAGATGTGCGGGCCGAGGAAGGGCAGGACGTGTGCCTGGAAGTGGAGACGGGCCGAGTGGGTGCAGCAGGGGCCGTGCGCTGGGTGCGAGGTGGGGAGCCCTTACCCCGTGACTCTCGTATGTCCATGGCCCAGGATGGCCACGTCTACCGCCTCTTCATCCACGGCGTCGTGCTGGCCGACCAGGGCACCTACGGCTGTGAGAGCCACCACGATCGCACCCTGGCCAGGCTCAGCGTGAGGCGTGAGTGTCCTGTCCTCTCCTAATGCATCGCCCGCCCCCTGGCGCAGCCTTTCCTGGCTGGCCCAGGGCCCCTCAGACCCCCACCAAAGTGCCCCTCACCACTGAGGCAAGTCAGCCCTGCCTGGCCTCCAGAAGTGTGACCTGAAGCAGCCTGCCCAAAGCAAAACTTTCCTTTTCTAGTGTTTTCTATGTACCCTAGAAGTCCATGTGGATTTTGCATTCCGTTTCACATGTCCAAGTTGGCTTTGCTGTAAACATAAATATTATACTCCAGAAAGACCTGCCGTGATTATCCCTTGCTCACACGCCCCAGGATACACGGGCCCATTTGGCAAAGAGCAACCCCACCCCACAAGCCAGAGCTTTCTATTAACTGTGAGACCTCGTGCAAATTACTTAACCTTTCTGAGCCAAGTCTTCTTAAGAATGGGGCCGATCCCTACTTCAAGGGTCTTTGGGAATGGAGATAACATGAAAAATGCCCACACAGAGCTTGGTACATGATTGCTGTTGCTGATATGTAGTCTCTTCTAATTTATTTCATTCATTTAATCACAATAAACCCACGTCTCAGTGCTATTCACCTTGTACAGTTGGGAGAACTAAGGCCCAGAGAGGTCAAGCAGTTTGCAAAAGGTCACACAGCACACAAACTACGTGGCAGAGCTGGGGTCCAATCCCAGCATATCTGACTTCAATTTCTGTGCGCCTTCCGGTGTCACAGAATCCCTCCTCACCCAGACTCCTCAACCCTCTAACCACAGCTCATCCCCTTCATGTGTGCCCTCCCCTAACAGCAATAAGCCCCTCCCCCCAAGGTGGCCTGCTGCGCTCCTTTCTCCCTGTACCCTGGTTCTGGGCTTCTTTCCATAGGAGCTCAGGTTGGGTGTTAGGGGTGGTACAGGCAGGGCCAAGGGGGTGTGTGAGCCCTCAAAACCCCTGCCCAGAGCTGGAGCCCTCATTCTCCCTCTCTCCCCATCTCCCCCAATCAGCAAAGCAGCTAAGGGTGCTACGGCCTCTGGAGGATGTGACCATCATTGAGGGCGGCAGTGCCACCTTCCAGCTGGAGCTGTCCCAGGAGGGTGTGACTGGGGAGTGGGCCCGGGGTGGAGTGCGGCTGCAGCCGGGGCCCAAATGCCACCTGCATGCCGAGAGCCGCACTCACCGCCTGGTACTCAGCGGCCTGGGCCTGGCCGACTCGGGCTGCATCTCCTTCACTGTGGATTCCCTGCGCTGTGCCGCCAGACTCACTGTGAGAGGTGCGGATTCTGGGCCCGGTGCCTGCCTACTGACTGCCCTGAGTGTGACTCTGCTGATCCCCCTACTGCTTGAGTGTGGCTCCTCTGACCCATCTGATCATCCAGCATGACCCCACTGGCCCTGCGGTCCCTGCGAACCACTGGCCGTGCGGCCACGAACAAGCCTGTGCCAGTGTGGTCCCTTTTGTCTGCCTGCCTGACCGTGGCCCCACAGACCGCCCTGAGCGTGACCCCACTGACCACACCTGCCTTCTGTGACCCCCACTGCCTGCCTCAGTGGGCCCCTCTGGCCCCTCCAGTCCCAGTGATCCACTAACTGCCTAAGGGTGACCCCACTAGCAGCTCTCCCCCATTTGTCCAGCCCACCGCATTCCCCACTGACCACACCACCCCTTGCCCTCTGAACCCATTATGTCCCCCACTGGCCAGTGTCACCTGTCCATTTCAGCCAAGTGTGGTCCCCACTGACCATGGTTGCCTCTGGGTGACTCCACTGGCATCTCTGCTTTGGTCGCCCCCCCCAGGCCCCTGTGGCCCCAGCATGTCCCCCACTGACACCCCCAGCTGGCCACTCCTGTCCCATAGACTCCTGTGGCCCTGTCGTGTCCTCCACTGACCAGCATCCCACTTGGACCACTTGTCCTAGCACATTCCCCCCCTCACTAGTGGCCTCTTCTGATCATCTCTCCTAAATGTGTCCACCCCTGACCCCTGTACTCAAGTGTGTCTTCCTTCTCCCACTCGCAGAGGCCCCAGTGACCATTGTGCGAGGGCCACAGGACCTAGAGGTGACCGAGGGAGACACAGCTACATTGGAGTGCGAGCTTTCCCAGGCTCTGGCTGATGTCACCTGGGAGAAGGTCAGAGCCCAGCCCACCTTGGCGGCATAAGGACAGTAATAATAATGCCCCAAACGGAAACAACTAATATTCACTGAAGAGATGTGCCTGGCACTGTGCTCAGATTTCCATTTACTTAACACTTAACCCTCTAATCCTTACAAGAGCCCGATGAGATAGGTTTTGCTATCTCAGTGTTATCGCTAAGGAGCCTGAGGCTCAGTGGGGTGAAGTGCTGCCCAGGGGCAGACAAAAGGGGTAGAGCCCTAACTTCTCCAAGGGGTACACCGCCCCAACGAGGCTTCTGGCTCCTGGCTCCTGGCGAGGCCCGGAAGGCTTGGGACAGCCAGATCCCGGCTTGAGAGCCAGGAAAGCACAAACGCGCCTCGAAACCGCTTGACATCAACAGAGGGCGCCGCCGCCTCCCAGGGCCGCGGCTGCCTGTGTCCAGCCGAGTGGATCCTGACCCTCTGTAACTCTCGGCCCTAGGACGGGCGCCCGCTCACCCCCAGCCCTCGGCTCCGACTCCAGGCCCTCGGCACGCGTCGCCTTCTCCAGCTGCGGCGCTGCTGCCCCTTGGACGCCGGGACCTACAGCTGTGCAGTGGGGACGGCTCGCGCCGGGCCCGTCCGCCTGGTCGTGCGCGGTGGGTTCGGGGCGCTGCCCGGGCTGGGCACCCCTGTGGGCGCGGGGACTGCGGACCCGACTGGCCCGGGACAGACTCGGGTGCCTCCAGAGAGAAGGGCGGGGAGTGGGCGTGGTCGGGCTCCGCTCCGCCCCACCTCACGCCTCCCGCTCCGCCCCAGAGCGCAACGTGTCTGTACTTTCTGAGCTCCGGTCGGTTTGCGCCCGCCAAGGTGACGGCGCCACGTTCGAGTGCACCGTGTCGGAGGTCGAGACCACGGGGAGCTGGGAGCTCGGAGGCCGTCCGCTGAGACCTGGAGGCCACGTCCGCATCCGACAGGAAGGTCTGGCCGACTTTCCTCCTACTCTGGTCCCTTGCTTCCCCGCCCCTGGCTCAGACAGACCCCGCCCTACTAGGACAAGCCCCGCCTCCATCTCGATGGGCCCCGCCCCATAGCCCAAAGAGCCGTCTCCTGGTCTTTGCCGGACCCCAGGCTCTGAGCCCTCGGTCCTAGACCGCTCCTCTTTCCCTTCGGCATCCCAATTCCGCCCAGCCCAGCGCACATTTGCCGCGTCCAAACCGGCCCACCCTCCTCCCTGAACCTTCCCCAGTGGCGGCTCCTGCCTCGCTTAGCGCCTCCCTCACCTCCCCAGGGAAGAAACATATTCTGGTGCTGAGCGAGCTGCGCCCGGAGTACGCCGGTGAGGTCCGCTTCCAGGCGGGACCCGCCCAGTCCGTGGCTCAGCTGGAGGTAGAGGGTAAGCAACTGGGGAGGGACGGTAGGGAGTGGGCATCATCTCCCCCGGGGACTGGCAGGCTGGCGGCTGGTCCTGGAAACGCTGCCTCCCCACCTCCCTTCCTCGAGGGACTCTTCTTCTGGGGAGGGTCACAGAGGGCAGTGCGTTTCCTGGGGAGGAGGAGACTTTGGGGGTAGGGGTACAGAGGAACGGGCTGGTACCACAGAGATCTGAGACCAGGAGTGGAGGCTGCAGGGGGAGGGAAGATGTGTCTCTCCTCCTGGGCGCCCTGCGTGTCCCTGTTAACGTAAGCCCTCGTCCTCACCCCCAGCACTGCCTCTCCAGATGTGCCGCCGCCCCCCTCGAGAAAAGACGGTTCTCGTCGGCCGCAGGGCGGTGCTGGAGGTGACTGTGTCCCGCTCGGGGGGCCACGTGTGCTGGTTGCGGGAGGGGGTCGAGCTGTGCCCGGGAGACAAGTATGAGCTGCGCAGCCACGGCCCCACCCACAGCCTGGTCATCCATGACGTGCGACCTGAGGACCAGGGCACTTACAGCTGCCAGGCCGGCCAGGACAGCGCCCACACACGGTTGCTGGTAGAGGGTGAGTGAAGCTGACTGGGCAGAGGTCAGAGGGACAGGCTGGCTGACCAGGAAGGAGGGGTTGCCTGGGAGCTGGGGGGCTGAGACACACCTACCAGAGGTTTTCCGGGACTTGGGATGGCCAGTTGGTTCTGGGGTGCAATGGAGGTGGGGAGTGGGGGAGGGGCTGAGGAGAGGAGGGAGCCCTGTGTTCTCCACAGGAACCATTTGCTTCAGGTCAGCTGTTCCCACCTTTCTATGCCCTTTCCTGTTCAGGCTTCTCACTCCCTCCTGCCTCTGGGCCACATCTGTCTCTCTTGAAGGCCCCATTTGTACCCTAATTCCTCTCCTTCCCACCTACTGGTCCCTTGGTCTGTGCCCCCACCTGCCTCTCATCCTGCTCCTGCTCTCTGCCCAGATGGCTTCTGCCCATCCCAGCAAGCTCCACATCGGTCTGAGCAGAGGGCTCCTGAGCTAGTCCCATTTCCTTCCTCTTCCACATACAGATGCCCCACCTTCCTGCATTTCATGCCTTGCCCCACCCCTAACTGGGGGCTGACCCATTTTCCTGTGCCCGCAGACATCCCAGACAGAGGCCCAGAAAGGGTGGGGCAGAGGGTGAGGACCCAGCTCTTCCTGTGTGGGTGCCCGGGCTCTGCCAGGGGAGAGGACGGTGGTGCCCACTCTCTCCCCAGCCCCACGCCGAGTCATTCCTCTGCAGGTAGCTAGGAGGACCGAACCAGGCCAGGCAGGTGCCCTCGGACAGCTTGGAAGGCGTGTGCCCGTACCCTGGGCAGGGGTGGGGGGCGGCAGGGGAACCAGAGGTGTTGGGAGACAATAAAGTGGTACAGTCCTTTTCCCTGGCTCTCTGTGTGATGTAGGAGGGCGGAAGTTGCCTGGGGCCCCTGTGCAGTAAGTGACACAGGACACCAAAGGCTGCAGCGCTTCCAGTGTGGCCCCTGAAAGTGCCAGCCACTGAAGACCACCACCACTCCTGGCAGAAGCCACACAGTTTGGCACATTTATAAAATATGTAAAACAGGGTGGGGTGAGGGGAGACAGAAGCATGAGGTGTCCAGGGTGGCATGACAGACACCAGACATGCACCGTGCATTGAAGCCCCCTCCCCCAGCCCCTCTCCCTACCCCAGCCCAGAGCAGCACCCCCCACCCCCCTCCCCTGCCACTGCCCTCAGACTGGTGGCTTTGCAGAGGACAGGGGACCAGGGTGAGGGGTGCTGCCGTTTGCCCCATGGACAAGGACAAGAAGCCTTAGATGAGTCTGGTTGAGAGGTGGAGCCGTGGGGAAGGAAGGCAGACCTCTTCCACTTTGACATGCAAGAGAGTGGCCTGTGGGACCCCAGCGGTGGGAGAGGAGGGGCAGGGCCAACCTTAGACAAGCCCTACCAATCAGAAATCTAAGGCAAGCGTCCCAGTGTCCCCTCCAAGCCCACCCCTCCATACACACACACACACACACACACACAGGCAACACACTCACAACCCTGAGCACACCCCAATGGGGCTCACACCCCGCATCCCTCAGGAGCCCCTCTGGAGCTTGGGAGGAGGCCTTCCCCTTAGGCCAGGGCTAGCCTGAGACAGGTTCTCCCTCCCGGTAGCCAGGCCAGCCCTCTTCAGGGTGGGGAGAGGGACAGCCAAAGGCCACAAGGCCAGGCGGGCTGGGTGGTGGTCCAGCAGGCCTCCCCAAGCTGGCAGAGCTGGTGACCGAAGAGTCTAGGTGGGCAGGAGCAGCAGGACTGCTATACCCGCACGGGGGGCCCTGAGCAGGCCGTCAGTGGCCCCCGAGACCCATACTCATAGTCCGCATCTGTGGGCGAGGCCATGAAGGAGCTCAGCGAGCTCCCCGTCTGCCGATCCCGGAAGCTCTGGATGTAGCTCTGTGGGAGAGTAAAGACAGGTGTGAGAAAGGTACTGCAGACCCTGCCCAGAAGGCCACCTCAGGCAGACATCCTGTCCCTGCAGCCACAGCCTGAGACTCAGCCCAGACTGCCTTAGGCCTGGGACCTCACCACACCCGGAGTCCACAGCCCTGAGACCCTACCCCCTACCATACCTCATTAATATACTCAGGACACCTTTCCCCTAATCCTAGAGCTGGACCCCTCAGGCTCGTTGGGCAGGGGTCACAATAGGTAGACAAATGCTAGGCCTTCTAGGTAGTGTGATCAGCCCCTTGGGAAGGCCCAGTCCGGCTGGGACAGAATCTGCCGCATTCCCTTCTTCCCCGTTCGGGCTAGAGAGGCTCAGGGTGCTCACCGGGGAGAGGACATCTCCATTGAAGCGTTTGATGGGCACTGGCCTGCGCCGATAAGCCGGGTCAGGGGGCCCAGGTCTTGGAGGAGCCCGGGAGCCTCTGGGAGGTGCCCGAGGGGGTCTCTTCTTCCTCCGCTTCTCCTTGCGCTCCTCCTGCTGCCGAATCCGCATCAGCTGCACTCGTCGCCGCTGCCGGCTGATGACCACTGTGAGGGGATGGGCAGAGAAGGGTCTCACAGGCCCTCGTGCCTTGTCTCCCCCAAGTCTCCCCAATCCTCCCTACCCGAGGGCTCCAGGCTTCCAGATTCCCTTCGTCTGTGACCTCCCACTCCCCCTTCCTTTCCTGGTCTCCCACCTCCCAGATGGGATTTCTTGCAGTTGTTTTTTTCTTCCGAGGGTCATATGGAAGATTCCTAGACTCCTAAGTACTCCCTCTCTAGCTGTTAATCCCTTTTCCCATCCTGAGCCCCAGGTGACTCACCTAAACCAGACGTCATCCTCTCTCAACCAGAGAACTACTGTCTCCTTCTCACTGGTCTGCCTTTCTACACTTGCCCTCCCCGATGTTTTCTACCAGCAGCGAGTGAGCATCCCAAACCCTAAATGAGATTATATCCCCCCTGCTTTAAACCTGCAGGAGTATCACATTGCCTTCCTGGTAAAATCCAGAGTCCTCATCATGGCCCACAAGGCCCGCACAAATGGCATGCCTCCACCCACCACACTCCAGCCCACTTGCTCAGCAAGCCAAGCTCTTCCTTTCTGGGGACCTGCCCTTGCCGCTCCCTCTTCTCTAGCTCTTTGCATGTGGCCTCTTATCCTTCAGCACTCTACTTAAATGTCACCTCTTCCAAGTGGCCTTCCCTGACCACCCTATCTATAATAGCCTCTGTAAGTCACTTGTTCACGTTGCCCTGCATATCTCTTTCCTATGACTCCAGAGCTGGAATTATCTACTGTTTGCCTTCTGTTTCCTGTCTCCCTCCACCTGAATGTAATCCCATGAGGGCAGGGACCTTTTCCGTTGGATCCCCTGTGCCTGAAATGAGCTTGCCACAGACCCCACGCAGCCCTATACCTTATTGCAGAATGAAGGGTGGGGCTGAGGTCCTGCCTTGCTAGACCCTGAGCAGGTCAGCTCTCCACCCCTATTTGGCCGCTGATGTGCACAGCTTCTTCCCCCACACCCCATTCCGTCCTTCCCCCCGCCCCCGACCCATCCCCGGCCACTCATTTCTCTCTCGCCCACCCTGGCCTGTGCCCTCTCACCTTCCGTGTGGGAGTCCCCCTCGGCCGTCACCCGCCACTGCACCAGAACGCCCATCAGGCTGAGCAGGGGCCAAAGTGCCAGCAGCACCCAGCTGCGCCAGCAGAGGGGAGGTACTGGGGCGGCGCGCAGGCGCTCCACCGCATAGCGCCCCAGCAGCAGCAGCTCGGCAAAGTAGTCGGCGGCCGTGGCAATGAGCGCAGCACCGGTCACGGCGGTGGCCAGGGTGGTGAGTGGTCGGGGCCAGCGCAGCGTGAGCAGGGCACAGAGTAGGCCGCCCCCCAGCAGCAGCCCTAGCGGGCCCCACACGGAGCCCGGCTGGTAGTAGGGCGCGGAGCCCAGCAGGGCGGCAGCAGCGAGCAGCAGACCGAGCAGCAGCCCAACCAGGAAGAGGCCCACGCTGCGCACCAGCATGGCCACCAGCCCACAGAGCAGCCCAATGCCTAGTGCGATGCCCGCACTTGCCCCGGCACTCAGCTGCGTCTCCAGCACCCGCTCTCGGTAGCACAGCAGGAAGATGACCACCGAGCCAAACAGCAACCCAGTGAGGAAGAGCACTGCCTTGAAGCAGCGGTAACCTGGAGGGGAACAAGGGCTAGTGAGGGGCCAAAATGAGGTCACCGGGCTCCAGGCAGGAGATTGGAGGGTTCATGGATATGGAATCACAGGGGAACCAGGAGCAGGACACTAAGATCAGAGACTTGGGGAGTCACTGGGGTCCTGAGGGTATCAGTGATGGGACCACTGAGGTCAAGGCAGGTCAGAGAGCTAGGTCACTGGGAGTCACTGGGAAAACAGAGAGATAGAGTGATTGAGATGAGCATTGGGTCTTTGAGGGTCAGAGGAGTCAGATAAATCACTGGAGTCAAGAGTTAATCAGTGATAGGGTCATTAGGATCTTTGGAATCATAGGGGTCAGAGAGATTGGTCACTGGAGTCACAAGGGATCAGCAATTAGAATCATCATGGCCGTGGGAGGGACTGTTCAAAGACATGAGGGATTCAGAAGTCAGAAAGAACTTGAGAGATGAGGGTCACACGGGTTCAGAAAGATGAGGTCTTTGAGGGGTCACAGGGCTTCAGAGATACGACATTATTAGAAAACAACAAAGAGAATGGAGAAGCAGGATTATTGGGGAAGGGTTCCAGAAGATGAGGTCATTGCAAGCAGGGGAATTGACAGACATGGAATCATTGAGGGTATTAAAGGGTTTCTGAGAGGGGGTTATATTGAGGCCAGAGAAATGGGAGATCATGGTGGGGGAGGGGCACACAATGGCATCATAGGGATCAAAGTGTTAGGAGTAATAGAGGGAGACAGAGGGTTGGGAGGTAATGAGATAACAAGGTGGTTGGGGATCACTAGGGTCATAGGGTGTCAAAGAGGATTACAAGGGGAAACAGTGCTCATGGAGTTTCAGCAAAATGGAAGTTATACTCATTAAGAGTACCTGGAATGGTGAGGAACTTGTAGATATGAACAGTTGGGTAGATGGAAGTCAGAGATGGAGGCCAAGGGGTCAGGGAGCTCCAAAGAGAAAGTTCGTAAAGAGGAGATGGAGTTTTAGGACTGAGGGGAGGCATCAGAGTCCAGGAGGTTCTGGGGTTAGAAAGAGGAGTAGGGCATACACAAGTGCTCAGAGTCCAAGAGCCTGGGAATGAGGGCATCCAAGGAGGGTAGGGTGGCAGGAAAGCCCAGAAGAGGGAATGTCCGGTTGCACTGAGCAACTGCAGAGGGAATGGGTATGGGTAGTGGAGGGCATGAGGTGACAGACTCCTTGGAGACCCAGAATGTGTCCTGAACCCTTAGAAGGGCACTTCCTCTTGCTCATTCTGCAGTTGTTCGGCCTCGAGTTTGTGGGTGGAAGGGGAGGGACCATCTGGCTCCCATCCGTGCCTACTACACAACTATTCTAGGGGGAGGTATAGAGGCTGCAGAGCACTAGTCTCATGACACCTCTGCCCAGCCTGGAATCCAGACCTCCGTGCCTCCTTTGTGCTTCCTCCAGTTGCCTATAATGCTCCCCCTGGAGACCCCCAGCCCATCGAGCTTGCTCCCCTCTCTGAAATCCTGTAGCTCTTGCTATAGTTATTGGGCACTTACTCCACTAGCCCATCTAGCACCTTTGTGCAAATTAGAAAAAGTCGTGTCTTCCTCTAGGCAAAGCAGCCCGTGCCAAGGCCTAGAGTTTGGCAAGTGGAGCATGGGCTGGATTTCAGCCCCCAGCTACCTATTCAACTGAACTCCCTTGTACAGT